CCCCAAAACCCCAAAACCCCAAAACCCCTATGTATGAACATGAGTACATGAATGATTAAGTAGAATTAAACAGAAAATTATCCTATAGTATCAATACGGATAGTATTTATTAGAGTGCGCTTATCTCACGCCTTATTTATTGTAGATCATTATCCTATCTATCTAATCAAGCACTAACTTTTTTCTTCGAGTAAATAATAAATCTTGAAGAGTGAGAATAGCAGTTCATTCACAATCCATTACTTTTTTTCTTCATCTTCCTTAATTCCAAGCTATTCTACAACTATCGATTAAATTCTATTCTATATGTCTTAAAAGTCATTCACGAATATCTCCTCCTTCTTTAATGAATCGTTTACTACCTATGTTGTTTACTAGAATATCAAGTTGTTTTCTTAGCATAGCTCTAAACATTTTTATTGGTTAAGAAGAATTCTTGTATCTATCTCTTTGATTCTATCTTTGAGGAGTTCCCCATCCATGCTGAAATTAATATTTCTGATAGAATGCTGTTCAAAACTCTAAATAGGTATTAAACTTCATAATTATGCTTACCAAATCACCAGATTTATTGTCAATACTTTGTATCATTCTGTCTATAGACTATTGAAGCTATTTATTATTGCTGTTTGAATCAGATTAAGTATCAGATATCCTCTAGTTTGCCAATAAATTATTGTTATCATCTTAGCCTAAAAAGAATTCTCTTAAATTTTAATGAGTAGTTGAAGCTATTTTGGGAGAAGCGTCAACTCTCATTGATTAAGAATATTGCTTGTTGTCATTTCCAACACTTATTTAATGAGACATTGTTGTTTCATCTGTAAGCTTTTTAATGTCTTTGTCATTTTAACTTTTATCAGTCGACTCTTAGTCCTATTTGATTTTTTGTTGATCCTAATAACTCGAGAATCCTGCATCTTAAGATTTCAAAACTCTATGTCTTTTGGATGAATGATCCTCCTTATTTTTAGAGGACTCCTTCAGAACATCTTCAATAATCTATTATCTAGAAAATATGAATGGATCATCATGGTATTCTTCTTAGTCAATGTCTTTTTCAAAATCAATCTCAAATAGGGAGTTTTATAGCATCATTTTATCATCCTCAAGATAACTTAATCTCAATTTTTATGGCTTTTAAACATGCTAATCTTCTAATAACCCTAAAGTACCTAATTTATTTCCTCCAAAATCCCCTAGTAAAAGCATATCTAGCTCCTCATCATCTAGTAAATCACCTAATTCGTCATCATTATCTAGATAATCCTCAATGTTGTCATCATCCTCATCCTCAATTTTGAAATTCTCATATTCTTATTCCCCCCTATTTTTCTTCAGCTTGCCACTCATTTGAAACTTATTGGAGCTTTTAGATGAGTGTGTACATTCTTTGATTGTATTTTATTCATTTAGTTTCTTACTTAAAGATAGATTTTTTGCATTTTAGATCCTATTTTTAATTTGTGTGAGTTTTGCATTCAATGGCTGCTGATTCTCAATAGCCTATCTGTTTTTGAATTTTTCAAAAATCATTTTTCTTGTGTCTTCAGATGTTTTTTTAGTCTTTAACTCATTATTTTGATTAGATGATAAGTTACTATGTCTAAAATTTAAAGTTGATTTCTTCAAATCCTGTTATCTTTGCTATTCTATTTTTTCAGGTAAAAAGTTTTTAATTCTCAAATTTTTAACACCTCCCGATTTTGTCTGCAAATTGGGTTTTATCTTTGGATCTTTGCTATTGCTAGGGAGTATCTACCCACTGGAATTAGTAGCTTTAAGCAGATTTTATTGAGATCTATTGATTCTTTTCATAGCAAGCATTCCTCCTTTTTATTGATAATCATCATCAGTATTAGAATTTCGTCTTTTTAAATTTGAATCAGATTAATCTTTTTGATAAGATGATCTTCTTTGCTAATTTAAGTCCTTTTATTATATTGGAGTTTTAAGTTTTTACTTTTCTTGCTCTTCTTTTTTGGGGAATACTCTAATTTAAGGTTTGTTGAATTTGAAGAAATTCTGGATTAAGGTTGTTTTATTCTTCTTGTTTACTTAGAGTTTCTAGAGTTGCTAAATTTATCTGATACTCAATTTGTCGTATTGTTTTCTTAGTTGATGTTGAGTGACTCCTTCCTCTGGAATTACATCTCCATCCTTCAGATTTATATGATACTTGTAATGAGATTGGTTAATTATTACTGGCTTCGGTGCAGTAGTCAATCTTTTTTGAGAGCTAACTTTATTTAATTTCTATTATGACTCAGCATCACTGAAGCTCTAGTCCTTGCTTACATTATTTGATCCATTTCCTGCATTATTTGTCTTTAAAATTTTTTGAGGAGAAGAATTTGTATTCAATAAGAGTTTACTTCTATGCCTATTTGACAGTGGTTCATTATCAAATATTTATTTTGAGTCTGGGGAATCAGGCTTACGATATTTTGTATTGGACGATTGATATTGATTTATCATTAGCTTTTTGTTTTCACATCTTTCAGTTTTTTGAGGTCTTTATTTTTTTAGTGATACAGGATGTTAGTTTTACTGATTATATGTTTAACTTTCCTTATGAGAGCTTGAGTTCAAGATATAACTTGTATTTTGAATATTCTAGTTTCTACTGAAATTAAGCTGGCTCTATGTTGCAGATAGGTTATCAAGCTTTGGTATTTAGGGTTTTGGCTATATCTCAACTATTACTTATGATTCATCATATCTCTTTAAAGGCAGTCTTATTTTCAATAGAAATGCTTTTTGTTAAAAAGCTAAATTTTTTAAAAATAAATTATATTACTTTGATTAAGGATGATATCTTCAATTGAAGGTCTTTTGTTATAGTCTTTCATTAAGCAGCTATGAACAAGATCTCCAAGCTCTTTTGAGTATTTTTTGGGTAAGGACTCATACTTCCCTTTAATGATTTTTATTAGTAATTCAGCTTGATTTTTAGCTTCGAAAGGATGTTTTAAACAGCACATTTCATATAATACACAACCCAAGGACCAAATATCACTCTTATTGTTATAAGGTCTATCTTCACAAACTTCAGGAGATAAATAATATGGAGTTCCGACCTTTGATTTAACAAAATTTTCAGCGCTTTGCAGAATTTTGGCGACTCCAAGATCTCCAATCCTGATCTAATTATCTTTTGTTAAGAATATATTAAGAGTCTTTAGATCGCGATGTAGAATATTTTATGAGTGTAGATGATGCATGCCCAGAGTAATTTATATGAAAAACTTCCAAATTTTATTTTCATTCAAATGCTTCCCCTATAACTTTCTTAAGTAAGAATGTAAATCGCCATGTTCACAAAACTCCATTATTATATTTATCTTAGTGTTATCAGACACAAAAGAGTCATAATACTTCACTATATAGATTGATTCAACTATTCCCATTATGTTGATTTCCTCTAGTGACTCAAAACTTTGTTTTTTTGACATATTACTGGTATCTACCTCTTTGACAACATAAATCTTCTTACTCTCTGATATAATTGATTAATGATTGAGTTTCAAGTGTTATTCAAACTTACATTTTTTTCTAACTTTGTATATTGTGCCATAACTTCCATGCCCTAGAATGTGAATCACTTCAAAGTCATCCCAACTAGGATTTTAAATCTCATTGTGCTAGTTCTATAATACTTTATAAGAAGATGTTTTAAGCATTAATGGCTGATAGAAACTATGACTTCATTTACACTTACTGATGTTAAATTCATTTGGCTATCGTAATGTGCAGTACTGTACTCAGTATTCAAGATTTTTTATTCTAGTTTCTAATCCTTTATCATTTGCTGATTTTCATATTTTAATTAGCTCATTATGTACCTATTGTATTTTAAATTGAAAGTTGAAATTCTTTAGTGTATTTGAGCAGAAAAATGGGCTAAAATAAAAGCTCTTAAATTTTAATATTGATTGATTAATTTTTCTAATAATTTAGATGCTCAATTCAATTATTATAATATTTAATAATTGCAACTATGTCTTGGGAAGATTTCTTGAGAGACTTTTCAAACTAGCCAGTACTTGGTCCTATGTTTGGTCTCTACTACAAATTCATGAATATCAAACGTTACGATCACATGCCTTTCTATTTCTATCCCTATGCAAGACAGTGGATCTCCTTCGAGGACACCTTCCTTACTTTCATCGATTGGCTTGTTGATGCTCATGAGCAAGAGAGAAATAAAGCAGATGCTAATAGATCTTTCTACCAAAGATCATATTATGTGTTTGACAACTATCTAAGATATCAAAACGACACTATGGCCAATTTAATGTTTGACACATAAGCAAGAAAGGTTGATTATGATAGATATAACTCTTTGCTAGGTCGCAAAAATTTATAGTTCTATGCCACTATGTCAACTATTCATTCAGTTTCTTTCATGTATTTGGCTTACTTCTTCAGATTCAGAAGAGTTAAGTTCCTCCCAGCTGTTGCAATCAGCTCAGCCTATTACTACTATTTTGAGAAGACCAACAATATCGCATACAAATTAATAGTTGACAAAAATATGATAAGCTTGGCAAGAGAGTTAGGCCACGAAAAACATATTCAACCAGTTGGACATCTTAAAAATAGAGGGCTCAATTATGTCTGAAATCTCTCCACAGCAGCCTGCTAGTTTATATGTTTTCATAAACAATCTGAGAAGAGGCTTTCTAATGTTGTTTACTGGTAATAACATGATTTCGTCTCTCTCAATATATTTAAACTAAAAATTAAAATACTATTCACATGCAAATTTCTATCTTTCCAATTGTATTCCTTTCATTATTTTCATTAAATTCCTCATTAAGGGGTTTTGGGGTTTTGGGGAGATCGGAAGA